TTCTCTACCCAATTTTACCAGATGTCCCCAGAGGTGTGTCATCTGTATGCTACTATTTAATATCTATAACTATTTTCTTTTTGGACATGAACCATGTATCTATCTGATGTCAGGTGAGGGATGAAATTGAGCATTTGTTGGATGACAATGAAGATATGGCACAATTATATTTGACAAGGAAATGGATTCAGAATCAACAATCTGAGGCTTTTTTGGGCCGTTCTGCCTCAATTAGCATCAGCAACACTGCACCCCATCTTCGTCGTCTTAGTTCTAACAAAAGCGGGAGCTTGGTAACTAGCAACAATATGGATTATGATGATGTAGAGGATCTAGAGATGCTTCTTGAAGCATATTTTATGCAACTAGATGGAACCCGTAACAAGATATTGTCTGTAAGTGCCATTTGTACTGACTTAGTTTAATTTCAATTTCTGGCTCAACTTGGAACTTGACTTTAAATTTCAGTTTCTGAAAATGCTCTCCTAGAACCTGATTATGGATAAGGTAACCCTTTATAAACAGTTTTAAGGATCAGTTCTCAACATTAGGTTGACCTTTGCAGTTATCAAGTTTGATTCAGTTTCATATAACTGAATTTAGGTAGGATTATTTATATGTTGCACGGTTCCATAAGAAGTTCTGTGGTTGCACTTGCTCTGGAATAATTTGGAGGCTTCAGACCTTTGTGGATTCCCAGTCGGAACTAATTTAACTAACACTGATTCCCGGTCGGAACTAATTTAACTAACACTGATACGAAAACTTTACTTTTGAAACCAGTTTTGAAATTGGGGAGGAATTATTGACTGTAAAGATTGATCAGTCTAGTTAGATCTTTCTATTAATTAACCTATCCATCACTTGATAATAGCTAGCTATCGCATTGGCTTCTTGACTTTGATGATGCTCTCTGTCTGGCACATTTTTTCTTTTAAATGGTAGTACAAGACCTGTCTCATAATGTGATTTAGTCGTGTTCAAAGATGCGATAGTTGAAGCTAAAAACTGATTTTTAAGGTGAAAGACACGGTCTATGGTTCCTTCGGCTGAACCCAATGGATCTTTTGGTTCCTTTGGCTGAGCCTAATGGATCCTTAAATTGGAAATGGCAGGTTAAATACTAGTGGATGACCATTTACCTTTTTCATTTCAGCTAAATGGTAAATTGGAAGATAATTGAAATGTACAAACTGGGCATGGTAATTGTATTATTCTCTACTTAAAACTTCCTCATGTTCTTATCGTGTTCATTGGATGTAGGTACGGGAGTATATCGACGACACAGAGGACTATGTCAACATTCAACTCGACAACCAGCGAAACGAACTCATTCAGCTCCAGTTGACGTTGACCATTGCATCATTTGCTGTAGCAGTAGAAACCTTGATATCTGGGATCTTTGGTATGAACATCCCCTGTGTATTATACGAAATGAATGGGGTATTTGAGCCCTTTGTCGGAGGCATTACAGCATTTTGTGTGTTGCTCTTCTTTGTTATCTTTGGGTATGCCAGATGGAAGAAGCTGCTTGGTTCATGAGTCCACTATGTCATCTTCTGTAGATAATACTAGCTCGCATACTTATTCAAGAACCCTACTAATGGGAAGCGTTTGAAGTATATGCTGAAATGTGAGGCCAGCAAAGAATTGCTTGTGATGCATTTTAGGTGAAACATTTTAGGGATTTCATGACTTCATATGACAAACTGCTGTAACATCATTCAGTTTTCTTTTGAAAGTATATGGCAAGTAGGTATTTGCCGGTGTACGGTTGTATAATATGGCAGACGGATGAATGTATTTTCACATGTCATCAATACATAAGGCCTCGTTTAGTAATAATGTCTTTGCTTTTAGTTTTTGGTTAATTTTAGTTCTAGTTTTTATTTTTTTAATTAAAAATGTTATTTTTGTAAATAAAAACTTAATTCTAAAGAACAATTTAGATTTCTATGTTTAAATATTTCATATTACCTATAGTTTTATTTTTTAATACATGTGATTTTGAAGAGGGGAGAATCGAACCTAGTACCTCATGGGTAAATGCTTTTAACCACTTGAGCTAAAAGACCCTTGCATATTACCTATAGTTAAACAATTGGAATAAATGTAATGCCAATGGGTGTTTACCTAGAGATGTTTGTTTGCAAATCCCATGGCACCAGTTCGAATCCCCTTGTGTGCACTCCTCCTCCTAATCCCCTAGATTTGTTATTCGCTCTATCTCAAAAATAAAGAATAAGTTATGTACTATTGCAATGCAATGGCGAAGAGCTTAAATTAAGAGATCCCTCAATTGAGCTTATTTGAAGTATACTCTTGTGGGCCCATTATGAATTGTATTTTAATTATCCGAATTGTCTATCGTTAGGTATTCATTCAAAGATCATTTCTGCAACAACAAAAAATCACTCGAATTCGAAACATGTCGATCACTCAATTAACGATTGTCAATTATATTGTAGCTTGATAAAAATAATATGACAATATATAAAGGATATAACTATTTAAACTTTATACCAGCTCTTTATGATATAAATACATGAAAAGCAACTATAATCACTAATGATCTACTTGACTTTTGTTCTCCACATACAATCTCATTAAAATTTAATCTAAAAGAATTTAAACTAGACACATCATCCTTAAAATAAAAACCCAATTTACTCATAATTAAAAATGAAATAAAAAGCCCTAACTTGACTAACTCTAACTTACTTAACGTCTGTAGGTGTTTTTTTTTTTCTCCTTCTTCCTTTATCTGCACGTCTCCCCTGCCCCAAATCTTAGCTCTCGGCAAACTTTCCTTCTCCCAGACCTCTGTAAACACTATTCTTCTTTTTTGGGTTCCAGCAACTGCTCTTTTTTCTTTCCTTCCTTTCTAGGCAAAAATCTTACTCATACCCCCTTTAATCCAAAAATTCTCTCTGTCTCACCGAAACTAATTAGAAATATTAAAAGAAATAATTTAAATGTGGTTAATTTCTTGGTAAATTTAAAAGTTTCTCTGGTGAATGAGTTATGGGAGGGAAACAGGTAAATTGGAAGAGGGGGATAAGTTTTTGAGTAACATGATTAAATATTTAAAAATTATACAATTACGAGAGTTTTTTCCTCTCCTTTGTGAGAATTTATTTTTGGAATTTTTTTGGCTTGGTTTTTTCAAGCTTTATCTATTTTTTATTGTTATGAGTTTGCAATTTTTATTGGGATGTCTATGCCAAAGTTTCTTTGATCCTGTGTGATTGTTAGTTGAGGCGCACCAAATTAGTTTGTATTGGGCCTCTTTGGTTGAATTATGAATGCAATCCTAGAATTTATCCCAAAAAATTACACAAAATGTTAGTATAGTTGGCTTATATTAATTGACATGATTGTCCAATTTTAACTTGCCACATAAAATGGTATATGAATGTGATATAAAAATATGGTGTTTGTGTACCGAAGAAGATGGAGTGTAGAGAGAGCAGGGAGAGAGGGAAAAAAAGGGATTCAAGAGAGAGGAGTGACAGCAAGGAACAAACGTGAAAGCGTATTAAGGGTCTAACTTTTTTGGGTAAAATTTTAATTCTTTTTTGTTAATTAAAAACTTATCAAAATAATAAAAACTCAAAACAATTTAATTGATGTGGCTATCTATCTCGGCTTCCCACATAAGATAGTATACAATGTGGTAAAGCTAAATATGTATATACATCTTAACTTACCACATAAAATAGTATTAGTATGCGTATATAGAAATATGATAAGTCTAGCATTATTGTTTATAAAAGGAATGCACTTTGACAACTATATTATCAAACTAATAGTTTGTATTTTATGATCATTGGAATTCATTGAGCCTTAAAGAGAGAGCAAGCCCTATTTAGTTGGGCAAAGGCCAACCATTTCACAGGCAAAATGTGGTCAAAATGTGTGGACATGTCTGATTTTTATATTGTACGGATTTTTGTTGTCTTGTTGTAGACTTTATTGATGAGGAATTGGCTGGCTGTCTCCCCTCATGCACACTTTATGTGCCAACTGCCTTCCTTCTCTCACTCTTGTATTTCTATTTGCCAATACCCCATTATTTTATCATTAATGTCGTTGTCAACAACTCACTCCACATTGTCCTGCTTTACGTTTGCAATAAGAAAAAGCAAAAACAAGGAAGTGCTTGTATGCAATAAAGTTGCAAAGCACCACAAAGAAAAGTTAAAGCCCTACTTGCTGAATTTTTAAAAATAAAAAAAGACTTATCAATGAAGAGAATATTACCACTTTGCAGTAAGTGCTGAATTTGGATTCTCACATTTTATTGGCTAACCTTTTTTTTTTTTTTTTGGTTTTAATATTTACGAAATTATCAAATTACATTTTTTATTTTTTTTGAGTGTCATTAATGGTCTTTAAGGTTAACACCCATACTCACAAATAGTCCTTTTTGTTAGATTTCCTCAAGAATTCTGTTAGTTTGTTGACGTGTCACATCCACGTTTATATATCTGATAAAACAATGTCACATGAATTTATAAGATTAAATTTGAGACCTCTTATCTATAAGTTAATGTACTTCAACTTTTAATCTACTTTGTTTTGTCACTCATTTTCTTTAGGATTTTGGTAATAAAATTTCCATTTATGTTATATATATTAGTACGAACGATTTGGGAAGGGAGATTTACACAAATATTCAGGTGTCTGGATTTCAAACCTATACCCACCAAGTTGTCGGATCAATACTTAATTGGTGTCACCCTCTTTTTATTTGACCATCACTTTACACAATCCGAACTTTCTTTTATACCAGGAGAGAAAACTTGCGTATTCTAAAAAAAGAAACTTGCGGATGAATTTTTTTATATTTTTATTTTTATTTTAACATCTTTAATCCTATAATAGAATTTAGTGGTACAAAAAAGAAATGAACTGGAAAAGGAGAATAAAAAGGACACAACAAAAGGCTGTCGACATATGAAAATTGAAAGATCCTTCGCGGAAACAAAGTGCGAAAAAACAATCAAATTTCAGAAAGGAAAAAAAAACAAAAAAACAAAAAACAAAAAAAGATGAAAAATGTATTTAATTTTGGGAATTTGTTTTCCATCCAACCCCCATACCTTAACCAGAAGACATAGTAGAGAGAGAAAGGAGAGAGAAAGGAGAGAGGGCTTCTTCGAAGAGAAGAGGGGAAACGAATCATAGATACACACAGAAACCCTAGGACAGAGGAAACTCTGTTTCTTCGATCATTGCATTTCAAGATCTCGATTGTTCATTCCATATAGGTAATCAATCTCGTATCTTATTTTATCTGTTCATTTTCTTTCTTCAAAACAAAGTAAACATTTTGTTTCATGCATCTGTTTCTGTTTTCATCAAATCAGCTGCTATTGTTGATTAGTTTTGCTGACAATCGGACACATTCTCTGCATTTCGTCGAATCATTGATTTTCTTCTTTTTAAATTTTATATAAATGTTTCCTAGGGCACTATTTATTATTTCAATTCAGAAATTGTGAGATTCATTTTGTGTTTGGATGCTGGGAAAATGTGGCAAAGGGTAATGAGCGGATGTATTTGAATCTCGGAAAGTTTTCGTTATTTGGGGCTGAGAAAACAGAAGCCTTCGCCTCAACCAACTGAGGCTAACAACTCAATTGTTTGGGAGATGGTATTCCAAATTTATCTTCCTCTTTTCTCTTTACATGGTTTCCTTGAGAAACAAATAGAGGGTTTGAGTCTGTTGTATAGTGATTAGGAATTTGTGGCATCTTTTTTAACACAATAAGTGTTGTGGCTGAACCCACCAATTAATTTAGAGTGTTAGTGTACTTGGTTTTATTTCATGGAGAAAAAGAAACAGAAAACCCAGTTGGGTAGCAACTTTAGTTATGTTGTAATTCGGGTTTAGATATTATAGTGATCCATGTACTATTATGTAAATTGTTTTATTTTATTTTATTTTATGTTTTTTATGATCAGCATACTGCACATAAAATTGGGTAGTTGTGAGAATGCTGTTGATTAAATGTATTGCTATGCTACATGGACCGGGATATGTGTGTTGTGTCATGTGCGTGTCCAGGTTTACGGTTCGTTTGCCTTAAGTTATTGATTATTTTGATGTTTCCAGTAGGCATGTTCATAAACATAACCATTCATGTACCTGTGCGTTATCTCATGTCAGCATGGAGAAGGATATAATTATAGTTATTACTTTTTTTCCCCCCCTAATTTTTAAAAAATAAGAAGACCTGCATTTTGCTTTTTCTATTTTCCTTGACCCATCTATCATTTGCCTTGTCAACACTGTGCTTGCAAACTTTTCCCCCCTTAATAAATTAAATTTACTTCCCTTCTTTATCCGTCATCTTGCACTATATTGTTTGACAGGGGCTGGTTGTGCTTCAGCGATGGCAAACTCCAAGAGTTCAAATATCAGAAATTTCATGTATTCCGGAAAGCATCCTTTGCTTCCTCCAAAAAGTCCATTTCCTAGCGTTTCCCCGTCATATGCAGATTATGTCCTCAGTCCTGCATTTGGATCAAAAACTGTTCAGAAGCCTAGAGAGGGAAATGCACATCACCAGCGAACTTCCTCGGAGAGCCTTCTTATAGAGGAACAACCTTCTTGGCTTGATGATCTCCTTAATGAGCCGGACACACCAATACGCAGAGGAGGTCATCGCCGTTCATCAAGTGACTCATTTGCATATGTGGATGCATCTAATGCTTCTAACATTGATTACGCAGCTCAAGACGAGTACAAATATCATCATATGATTTCTGCACCCTCTTGGGGATCTCAAGACTTTGATCCCCAAAAAGATTTACGACATGCTTCATTATACACTGAACTGAACTTGGTGAAGCAGAAGAATAAGGCATGGGAGTCTTCTTTGAATAGTGTAAATAACATGAGCAGCCTTCCTTCTGTCAAGGATAACATTGTTCTTCAGAGTTCAGGATCATTATCTACACCGCAAGAAGCAGATGGGTTTGCTTCTACTGCAAGTGAAAAGCAGGATCAGGTTGAATCTGGTCCACATGATCCAAAAGCTTCTTCTGAGAAAAAAGACAATTCTAATGCTAAGCTTTATGCATCTGAGACGGATGCAAAACGCGCTAAACAGTATGTAGTTGATTTAATTTTTTTTTTCTACACCCATACTCATAGTAACATAGAAATATTAATCTTGCATAATCTTTGGTTGTCTCTTTGACCTGCATCTAGTTTTCTTTATCCAGTTTTTGCATATGTTTTCAAGTTGAAATAAAAATCCACCCTCTATCTCACACTCAACGATCATGGGTGGCTGCTTTATGAAAACTCTTAACCGTAGCTAGAATGCAAAGAATGTTGTTTACATTAACATTAGTATGACAACTGTTCCTTTAAGCTAAGCTTATGTGGTCAATTGCATATTAAAAGCAAAGAAAAAGGGGAAAGCGGTTCAATGGAGTTATAAGGACACAGGAATGAATAGTCACCTACGCCCGATACACAATACATTGGCTGTATAATTGGTTGCTTGTGTGTAACTTGGTGCTATACGGGGATTAGGGATTGCATTCCCACATTTAGTTTGTTACAGTACAACTTCAAGTGCATCTGTACAAGCATACATTAATGCATAAAATTTGCATACAAAGTACAAACACATCACATTAATATATTGGAAGCATTTAAGGATGTAAATGGCTGTAAATGCACAAACCTGGTCTTAAATTGCAATATGTCAAACCTGTTTTGTTCTTAGTTTTCTTTTATTTTTGACATTTTAAGTCTTTTGTTCCGCCATATATCAGGATATGTTAAGAATTCCAGTTATGAAAAACTGGATAATCAAAATACTGTGAGTTCGGAGATGTGATCTGGGTTGTGGCTGAGGGGGTGGTAGAAAAATCTAGTAAAACTCCTGCTCTGGACCAGGTCAAAAACATTAACAGTTTTACAAGGAAGTCGGAGTGGTACTGTCATGATGTTTATTGCTACTGGGTTTACTTGAAATCTTAGATTTAATTGTATGTCTGTAGTTATAATGTTAGTTTCTTATAATACTGGTAGCATCTATTAGATAATAAATATTTTGTACTTGTGCTTTGTAGGAGGCTTACATCGTTTAGAGATATTCCAATACCTGTATTACAACAAAATCACATGTCATTTCTTTATTTAATATCCCTTTGAATATGTGGTTCTTGCTTTTTTATTGCTTTAAGGCCAAAATTTGGGAAGAGGGTGAAGGATAGAAGAAAGGTGGTAATGGCAAAAGGGAAAGAGCTTTTCTAATCTTAGCTGTGAGTTAGAGAGGCATTTCCTGTCTTTCTATAATGTATAAAGGTGCAGGCTGCAACTGTGGTACTCTAGAGGGCCATAATTGAGCACTACCTATTGTTCTGCTCTACAGCCTGCTCCTCGGAGTTGAGCCTGATGATTCCTTTAGTGTGTTGAAACTGCAAGCCATAATCTAGGTCATTACTATTATGCATATGCATCAGTGGTAAATTATGAATCAGAGTAGTTTAGATCACTTGGTATTATGCATGATGTTATCCGGCCACTAGTATTGGGCTGCGCAATAGCTTAGATCACCTGGTATTGTGCATGATATTGACCGGTATGCGGCCACTCGTATTGGGCTGAGTAGCTGTAAAGCATTGTAAATTAAATGTACTACATAAGAATTAGCAGTGTATACTCTTTTGGGAAGACATTACAGCTAGAGGAGGAAAAGCTAAATGTTAAGTAGTATTTATCCTCCTTTTAGCTTAATATCTTGTACTCTCCTTAATATTAACAATTCTAATTAATATAGTCTAGTTTTCTGGAAAAAAAAGTGGAGGAAGACAGTTGAATGTGAAGGATCGGACTAGGACAGTCCCTTTTCTCTTAAAGGCATGAATCTAGGCTTGTTCATGTCCAAAGAGTAATTCACTTAAGGGGCTGTCTCCATAAGTTTGAGGGTTTAGATTGAGAGATGTGAATATGCTAATACGGCAAATGTTTAGAGTCAAAAACTTTACTTTGAGGATGCAACAGTAAGCTAATGCATTTAAATCATAATTTTTCATTTTATTATTTATTCATAAAATATGGCAGTTCACTGTTTCAAGGAATCAAAACAAATTAGTAACTTTGAGAAATTCTGCAAATTATAATGTCAGTTTCCTTGTAACAGCATTGTTGTTCATAATTCCAGAAACTTGATTGGTGTCTTCCATAATGGGAATATAAATTATACGTATGGAGACTGAAATACTATTTCTGCAGGCAATTTGCTCAGCGCTCACGGGTTCGAAAACTTCAATACATAGCTGAGCTGGAGAGGAATGTACAAGCTTTACAGGTAAGTGTCAGCAGAAGCTTGAAGTACTGTATTTAAGTATTCAGTTTGAATTGGTACTATATTGAGTGGTTTTATGAAAAATTTATATTGTTCTTGTTTGTGTTACTCTACAGGCAGAAGGGTCTGGAGTTACAGCCGAGCTGGAATTTCTCAACCAGCAGAATCTGATTCTGAGCATGGAGAACAAAGCCCTCAAGCAGCGCTTAGAAAGTATAGCACAGGAGCAACTTATCAAATACTGTAAGCTTCTACCTTGAACGTTCAGGTTTTGATAATCTGTCCATTTTTCTGCTTCATCTGTCTAGGAGAAAATGTTTGGAATAAAATCAGTTATGTGAAGGATGAAGCTCTTATGAAAATACATGGTAGACCCTATGACAGTTTGAGAATGATTGGAATCTATGTTCTAAAGATTTGGAGACACTTAGATAACATTAAGAAATGTTAGTATTCAGGATAATATTTCACCATTTTCTTAATAATGTTCTTAAAATATGTTCAATTTTTCTAAAAGGACTTTTTGACTTCCAATTTTAAACTACCTGATAGAAAGAAATTCAAAAATAATTTTTAATTCAAGGAAACAGGCCTGGTCCCAAACATAATGAAGACATCACCCTAATGGGGCCTAAAAGTAACATTGTAGGCAGGATACTTGATATGTTATGTTTCTGCTTAACTATTTATTACATTTGCAGCTTTAATTGTCTGGTATAGGATGTAATTGCAGCTATAATTATCCTCTAGACTGATGGAAATTCAAATTATACAATATGAGGCCTAATGATATAATAGTCGCTTTCTAGCAGACATTTTATCTGACTAATGATAATACAGTTTAAGGAGAATTTTGAAGTCATGATGTTTGCATATAAAAATGAATGTAAACATTCTCTCTAGGGCTTCCCTGCTGTACAGTTCAATGATTGGAACTGTCTATGTTTTAGGTTCTTCAAGGGTCATCCCTTCAAAAAAATTAGCCCTAACAGAAATTATTTGGTCATCTAAACTGTGCAGACTAATGCACTGTGTCAGATAAAAATGAGATGGTAATGATGGTACTTAAATGGTTAAAGATTTCCAATTTGGCAGATTTTTTTTTTTTTTTGCATAGATTATCCTTGAAGGCATGAAGAACCTAAGACGTTTCAAATCATTGTTTTCTTAGATGTGAACACCCTCACTTAAAGGTTCCTGTACTGTTCAGAACCATATGCTTTATTAGTTACAACATAGATGTACCTTCGTTTGTGGTAATGGTTGCCATATGGCAGGTTGGTAGATCTTGAGTAAATAACTGTGGCTGATGAATTGTTTTTCTTTATGAGTTTTTGAATACAGTGATTTTTTTTTTGTCTGAGAATACGGTGGATGTTAATGTTGCATACTACACTCTCTTTGGAAAAATGTTTATTCTGCTTCGTGGAAGATTTAAAAGGCTCATGTATCTGAAAGGTTTTCACATATATGCCATTTCATCGGCAGAACATTTTATTTAAACCCTTCTGATTGTTGTTCAGTACTTGTAAGGTCACTAAAGTATGTGTTTTAATATTCAGTGGAGCAAGAATTATTAGAGAGAGAGATCGGGAGGCTACGAGCCTTGTATCAGCAACAACAGCAGCACCATCAGCAGCAACAGCAACAGCAACAGCAACGACCTTCTTCAAGCCATAGACGCTCTAACAGCAAAGACCTTGATTCCCAATTTGCAAACCTCTCTTTGAAACACAAGGATGCAAATGCAGGTCGTGACCCTGTAACAGGCACACTTCGCATATAGATGTGTAATGTAGCCAGAGATGTCGTTTGCCTCTACTCTTCTCCCATTGATATTGCCACGCCTGACCAAGTTCGTTGCCTCCCTTGTGCGGGATAGGCTGAGCTATTCCACTCTTGGCGTCCTCTCTCCACATTTTGTGCAATTTGATTTCACTGTTTATCGCCCTTCTCTGTTAAGTTAATATCGGTGCACCTGGTAGTCATTGGCCAAGTAGTTCTACTTGGGGCAGGTGACTTACCGGAGGTGGTAACTCAAAACAGGTTCGGTATTTCAATCTTTATTGTATGTCTTACGTAATCATGATTCATAAATGTTGTATGTTCCATTTTTTGCCCATTGCAGATTTCAACATAGTACAAAAGATCTTTTGGGCTAATTGGATGTGCACTACTTGTAATGCATTATGGTAGGAAAATGTGTACTCGTAACATATGTTTCAAATGAAATCTGTAGTTTCTTTGATTTTGTTCGTCAGTAATGAGAAATTGATTGGATGCACATTTGGCACCTTTTTATTTTTATTTCTATTTTTGTCATGTCACCTTTTTATTTGAGGAAAAAATATATATATGGTAGGGGAGATTCCTTTCTAAAGGAGGGGGTGTAGAGAGTATTTGGGGGTTTCAATAGAATTCCCCTTCTTTTAATATTTGCTTTGCCATGATGCTAATTTCGTGAATGGTGTTAATTCCTCGAATGCATCGTTACCTCTTTCGTTTTCATTTAAACTTCACAGAAATATATTGTGTCCAGAAGATTTTTCCATTGAAATTTGAAATTGTCAACCAGAAATTTATGTACTTATTATGATTATTATATATATAACATAGTGATCAAGCTGCATCGCCAACTTTCGGCTCACTGAGAAATTATAGTGGTACGGATGTACTACGTTGGCGTGGGATACTCCAACTCAAATATGGCATGTGTCCCTTTTTGAAACAGAAATTAACTGCTTTTGACAGCTGGACTTGTTTCTTAATTTTTATCTTAAGCAATAAAATTACAAAATTGAAAAACTTGAGAAAAAGAACACCCCTACTTTTTTTTAGCCGTCATTTTGGCCGCAATGGTGAGTTCACTAGTAAAAATGGGTACATTGGCAAAACAAAAAGAAAATCAGTACACCATGAGAAAGAAATGTCCCATTTTTCAATCCATGACAAGTTTTGGTTTTAGTTTGTGCATTTCCCTTTGGACTGTCAATATATGGTGAAACGTCCAGGGAGAAAGACCACCAAGACATTCAAGTATTTCTGCAGTACTACAACACTAAAAATAAATAAAATTGAATCTAAATCATGAATCTAAAGTCACAAATTTGCAGACTCTTTTTTTAATCAGAACACAAATACAAGGATCAAGAATGAGAAGAAAACTAAGGAAGGCCTTGATGTTGTTGCACTGTTGGGAAGTGTAGGGTACTCATCTGGAGGGGGCATGACACATTCATCACCATTAAAGGAAATTCTTCTAGGAAAAGTCCATCCTTCTCTGAAAGTGAAAATCCCAGGATCTTTATGCAGTAACATCTCCGATTGAGCATTGCCGCTCTGGCCGGACGCGAGTAACATGTCGTTGTACGATTTGATCCCCCAGAACATCCCTGTATCATCTGGAAAAAAAGACAGCTCGATGTTCATTAAAACTACCCTAATGGCAATAGCTAGGGTTTTTGTATATGATGAAGAAAATGTGGGGGATTTTTGGTTTGTTGAACTTACTTATATTTCCATACGCATTGAGAGGGTGGTAGTTGAAGCTGAACAACTGAGTTACACTCCTCAAGTTGGGGTGTTGAACGACTAAGCTCCAAGACGAATAGTTTTTAACAAAATTATGATTAGTGATTGTAATCTTCACCCTCCAGTACTCTTTATAGCTTTGCTTCACATGCCAATGCACTCGAATCGGGCACATGTGCTGTGAACAAGTCACCAAAGGTGGCACTTCTTCGTTCTCCCGCACTCGTGGAAGCTCCAACAGATGTGGAGATTTTTCACCAGACCTGCCGATTTGTAAAACTTTCAGACAAATTGCTTCAAATCATAAAAAATATGATGTCAATTTGCAAAGCTCTTAATCAAAGAATAGACGACCCAGAGATGCATGTTACTTTAGGCATTTTGCTCCCGGCAGTCCTTGGCAGCCGCAGCTGCATTTCGGGCAAGGAACAATGGTACTATTGTAGAATGCAGACAAGGAAACACAGCATTTTGGAGAAGGTGATGCTCTGAACTGGGAGTACATACAGGTCACATTCCATGTCTCTACAATAAAACCACAAGGAAACATGTGTTATGCAGAAAATTAAACATTGTTTACTTCATTCATATTATTGCTACTCTTCTTCCCTATGTATCCCTCCTTTCATTTTCATCTCATACCATTCATAAATTCCAAAAAAAAATGGGCATGTTAGGTGAACTTTTGTTGGAAGCACATATAGTTATCATTTAAACCTTTAACCTAAGCCAAGTGCATGTGTTTCTTATTCATTCATCTGAAAATGCTTCTAAGTGTTTTTTTTTCTATTTCTACCAAACTTTGTAAAAACAAAAGTGGTTTTGGCCATCTAATAACAAAAAACAAGCACCCTAATAAGCACTTTTCTCATTTCCTGCCAAATTTTGTGAAAGCGTCTATAGTCATCGGATGCTCAGTGAAGTCTTGACAGTACTCACCTAGAGTTTGTACCCATCGGCGGCCATCGGGACTGGACCTAGTTGGTGAGACGAGAAATGCGTCTCCACAGGTATAACCAGGAATTCCAAGGGTGAAATTGGTAGGCATAAATTCTGTAATGTTGTTGGTTTTTCCAAATCCAACATTCATCTGGAAAGCAGATAGAAACTTGGAAGAGTCTTGGATCATGGAAGAGAGCTCCCCTCCCTTGCAGCAATTGGAGAACTGCTTGTTGTAAGGGGCTCCTGGCAAAAAATCAATAATCACTGGCTGCTTTTTACAGCAGTGAGGAAGTTGTGGTGAGCTCCTGAACTTGGAGCAGTTTCCTTGCTCCATGGCCTCAGCTCCCCGCATGTCCCAAATCACTTGATCATCATCTTTCCATATCCAACTCAATTTCCAACCAGGCCGATCCAAATGCCGGAATTGCTGGAAGTTGTATATTGATACCGTTATCTGAAATAAAATAATTATAGTCAAAATTCATGTAAAATTGACAGTTGTAATGAACACTGAGCTGCAATTAACTCATAATTAAATTCATTAAATCCGCCTAAACCACACCACAATGTTTCAACAATCTAGCTGGTAACAAGGGGATTTAGAGAAATCTAAAAGTTGGGCTTTTTTTTTCATTAAGGTTGAGCAAAAGAACAAAATGCAGTGTCTTTGAGTAATCTAAGCTCAGTGTTTGAAATGTGTGCATGAACTTATTAGAAAGATAGTATAAAAATTAAATTATTTACTAAATATATATAATAATAAAAATTATACTAGTTCATTGAAGAAAAAAAACAAAGGAATACATGTTAATCCTTTTTTATCCACCATTTTATGGCAAGGATTATAAAATTTAAATGGACTGACTCTGATCTATCAAATGGATGGCTTGGGAGTTGTTCTGGATAGATTAATATCACTTTAGATGGTTTTGAGTGATTTTATAGAAAAACACATTCTTTTCTAAAATCGCTTTAAATCACTATTATATGAAGATGTGCTTCTCCACATAAGTAATTATGGATCTCCTAAATTCACTTCAAAAAAACCTAAATAAAATGTGAAGCGAAAGTTTCAGCACGTCAAGAGAGGGAGAGGATCCAAATCCGCATATTCATATCCTCAATAGTGATCGAGTCAAATAACACCATATCTAAATGATTTTTGGGTTTTTGCATTATATCCTTTTCTGGTCTAAAATCAGAAAAGAAACTAAAATAATTGAATCTTTGGCCCTCTAGGGGCATGGCGGTAATTTAGGTGACAAAATCAAAAGTAGACAGAAGGCAGTCATGCAGAACACTGTGATCCATTCTGTCCCATCACAAAATGGTCTAATTTTCAGTGTGCTGAGGTGGCGCACAGTGATTGGGTTTCTGAACCAATTGTGATGAGCTCAACGTGAACCTCGCCCACCAAATCAGAAGATAAAAACAGTACGGCAGGGTTTGGAGGATAACAAAACAAACATTTTGGAATGCAAAACACCATGCATACACACATAATAATTTTTTATTATTTTAATTTTTATGTAATATAAGAAAGTGATTTTGGGTTTGTTTTCTTCGATAGAGAATTCAATTGTAAGAGGGCTATTTGAGAATTGATACCAAAAATTTAAAAAAATGCAAAATTGATTGATGGGGGAAATTAAAAAAAACTCACATCATATGTGCTCCCAGTTTGAAGATGAAAATCCCAAGTGATGGTTATGTTGGCATAAGGATCTAATGAATCATACCCATCTGCATTTTCACCAAATTTTTATGCCATTAATAAATTACCCCAAAACTTTGAAGAAATGAGAGCGAGAGAGAGAGAGAGAGAGAGAGAGAGAGAGAGAGAGAGGAACTTACATGATAATGAGAAGGAGGTGACAAGAGAAGAGATGAAAATGATGAAGAGCACAGCATTTGATCTTTGAGCACCAAACAGAAAGCGGGGGCTCATCTTCTCTCCAAATTAAAACACCAAAATTTGGGATCAATGTTCTAATTAAACTTTCCAAACTGCACTAATTGGTATTTTACTTTCACTTAATAAAACAACAAACCAGTTTGAATGGAAAACGCATAAAAAACTCACAGATCACACAAATGTGCTTCACTGCCCACAAACATTATGAATAAATATATATACATATAAATCCTATAGAAAAAAACAAAGAAGTAATATGTGTGAGATTGTATGCTCTGGTTTTATGTATGAACGTATATATATATCTGTCTCTTTCTCTCTGAAGTCTCTAAAAAGATGCTCTACAACAAAGAAAGAGAAAAGTAATTACCAAAATTTTTATAATAAAAAAAAACAAAGAAAAGAAGAAGAAGGAAAAAAACGAAAGAGGAAATTAAGAAATTATATTGCAATTAATGTTGTGAGAGAGAGTGAGACTGGTGTTTTCCAAATCTGGGTGCAATTAAGAGAGAGAGAGAGAGAGAGAGAGAGGTGCTTAGAATGCGTCTAAAAGTCTGTACATGAGTGAGTAGGTTTTTGAGTGTAAACATTCAAAGCTCACGCGTAATGCCATCCGGGGCATTTGGCCTGCCGTTTGGGTTTAGTCAAATAATTACCATTTTTCACTTCTATTTTTCCAATTTTTGTTTCTTGCACTTCATGTGCATAAAAAATTACAAAATATACACTATGGAAATAACATTTAGGGCATCCCTTTCTTTTATTTCGGTGAGGAATTTCAATGTTAATCACCCGTGGTATCAAACAATACAAGAGTTATTTACACTAATATTTACTAAGGTCTTCGGTAATTCTTGAAGTTTCAAAAAATTACAGTACCTCTTGAGGTTTCAAATTATTTTCGCAAAACCATTTCATG